CATCTATTGTTCTTTAAATGTCATTATACTCCAACCCACTAGAATTCTGCAAGCTAAAACAACATTTGCACTTGGTTTTTCAATTTATAAAAATATACACATTATAGGAATTTACAATTAAGGCCCAAGCTGAGCCAGAAATACTATGGAGCTCTACCCCAACCCTACACCATGCCCTATGACCATTCTACCTCCACCCAAACTAGAAAACACCTTGGACCTTGATCTTGACATCAACTTTTTTTCCTCTTTCTTCAAGCACACCCCCATCTCCCTCTCCCTCTCTTTCTCCCTCTCTCCCAGCCATTGCCCTTTGCTTTTTTCCCCTTGTTCCTTTTTTTTTCTCTTCCTCTGGTCTCTTTTTCTCCTCATATCTTTCAATTACAGACTCATCTGTAAAATGTAAGAATCTGAGTAGCAGTAGAATAAAGGTAGTGATTTGTCTGCACATGAAGGGTCTGTGTACACAATGGGTATGGGGGAGGGTGTAGAATGCAGGAGACTACTGCAGTGTCTATTGCCCGTTTGGCCCTCTGGAGAGCTCAAGCCCTGAGGTCTCAGTGCTCTAGAAAAGGTTTCTCTGGCTGCTGTTTAGCTATGGTTCTGCTCAGGCTTCAGTCTTTGTTCTCTGTATCTCTGCTCCATTGTCATCCGGGGACATTAAGTGACAGCACTATCTAGACTTCCTTTATTCTCTCTCTCTCTCTCTCTCTCTCTCTCTCTCTCTCTCTCTCTCTTTCTTTCTTTCTTTTGGAATTAACTGAGCATGAAACAAACATGTCTTACCTATAATTAATTTCTCAAAGGAGACCAAAAGGAAGAGAGGGGAGAAGCAAAGTAGAAAATGGTGGGGAGAGACTTCTGGGCATGAATCCTTTAATAACTCTTCTTTCCTAAATTAGTGTTTATCCTATTTCTCATGTTCCAAACTTATCCTTTTCTTTCTTGACATAAGCTGCCCATACATGCTGCTTATAGATGTGCTGAGACCTCTCAGCAGCCCAGCCTGGGCTGTCACAGTCCTTTCCTCCCTTCCCTCCCTTCTCCTTCCTCCCTTCCCCTCTGCTCTCCCTTCCTCTCCTCATATAGACAGGGTGTCATGCAGTCTAGGCCTGCTTAGCCCTAAGTCACTATGCAGCTTTAACTCTGGGGCCTCCTACCTCCACATCCTAATACTACAGCACATATGTGTCTGGCTCTTGCTAATTCTGGTTCACACGCCTTTGGGTTCACAGAAACGAACACTTGCCACAGCCACAGAACTCACTCAAACTTGTAAGCCCAAATCTAACTATAGAGACCATTAAAGGACGGGAGAGACTATTAGGCGAGTGAGTTAGAAGTCAAAATTATCATTTAAGTTGGAGAGGATATTTTAAAATAAAAAAAATGAGTATCATTTGTGATGGGGAATGTACTTCTGTGCATGTTCATCTTATTGATTGTTGAATAAAGTACTCTTTGGCCAATGAGGCAGCAAGTTAGATGGGACTAGGAGTCAAGGAGGATTCTGGGAGATGTAGTAAAGAAGTGGTGATCCAGGCGGAAGGGACATAGCAGAGAGACTCATATTTAAGCAAAGACAAGCAGGAAGTGGTCCCTTTCACCTTCGCTCTTCCTCCTGCTCTCTGCTCTGAAACACCATGTGATCCCGGGGATGAGGACACCAGCGGAAGGTGTCTGATAAGATAAGTCTTATAGATTTATGATAATTAGACTGAGCTAGCAGATGAGAAATCCTAGTCATTGGCCAAGCAGCATTTGTACCTAATATAAGTCTCTGTATATTATTTTGGCCATCCACATGGTGGGCAGAACTCAAATGGCAAAAAGATTTATTGTAACACATTTGTTTTAGGATAACTTCTCATAATACAGAAATGCTGGTTTATATGTTTGAGAAGAATATACATACTTGATTGTGAAAATGATGGTTGGCAGAGCTCAGGTTAGGAAAATTTAGGGATCATCACTAACAGTAATATTTATTTATTGGTTTTCAAGGCAGGGTTTCTCTGTGTAGCTCTGATTGTCCTAGAACTTGACTCTGTAGATCAGTATGGCCTTAAACTCAGGGGTCCACCTGCCTCTACCTCCCCAGTGTACACCACCACAGCCTGGCTGAAAGTAATATTTATATAAATAAATTTAGATGGTAACCATACACACAGTTGAATTGTCTTTTGTTTGTTTTTTTATTTTGAAACTGGGTCTACTGTGTGTCTTGGCTAGCCTGGAACTTGGAAACTCATTATGTAGACCAGGGTGGTCTTAAACTCCTGGGAATTAAAGGCAGGTGCACTATACACAGTTAATAGCTGAATAGTCAAAGACACATTTTCTCTTTCTTTTTTTGTTTGTTTTGAGACAGGGTTTCTCTGTGTAACAGTCCTGGCTGTCCTACAACTCTCTTTGTAGACCAGGCTGGCCTCAAACTCACAGAGATCCACCTGCCTCTGCCTCCCAAGTGCTGGGATTAAAGTGCACCCCCCAGGCCTGGCTCAATGATACATGCTCAATGTCATCTATGCAGAAATCAATCACACTGCTTTACTATGTGGTTCTGTCTTGATCAGACTTCAACTCCAGCCTTGGACTCCATTTTAGACACGTGAATTCATAGCAGACACATATGAGTGGAGGCGGACACAGGAGAAAGACCTCACTGTGTGTGGGAGCTGTAAGGGAACTGTCTGTGACAGGCCTGAAGTGGGAAACAAAGATGAAAGAGTAGAAGAAACACTTGCAAACGCCTGAAGGAAAGATGACTCAGCAAGTGAAGGTGCCTGCCGTGGACACTGATGCCTGAGTTTTATCCCCCAGGTCCTACAAGGTGAAATGACAGAACTGACTGACAAAGAGTCCTCTGACCTCTGCGCACACTCTATGGCATGTGTGTAGTCATCTCCCCCCAACACATACAACACAACATAATAAGTGATCAAAACTTTTAAAATATTTCAAACACTTGAGGGACTGTGGCATAGGAGAGTAGATTTTATTCTAGTCAATGGAACTCCAATACTTATCATCCTGGTCCAAGTGGATCAAAGTTAGAATCACCAGCTAGAAGAGACTGGGAGTTCACGGAGGTGAGGTACTCTAAAAGAAGATTATTCAAGCTGGATGGGGCAATTTGAGACATCTGGGCAAAGAATGTTCTAGCAAAAAAAGATTCCAGCTACAGGCGTTTTCAAGTGGACTGCCCTTCAATACCACTCTCCCCCATCTGACAACCATGAACACACCCCACAGAGGGAAAAACAAAGAATTTGATGAAAGGCACAAATGATAATTATAAGCCACTCTGATTTTCAAGTTTGCAAATATAGAGGAAATGATTGTCATTTCTAGTTCCTTAAGTGAATTAATTTAACTTTAGAGAGTCAATTTTCTCTTGTTTTGGAATTATCTGATAACTGACCCACATAAACAAAGCTCTTACATAGTCCATTCAAACTTGCTTCTCATCAGGGTGGTAACCTTGGATATTTTGTTAAAAGAGCAGGAACATTGCTGATAATGACTGTAATATAATTGAACTTGGAAAACATACTTTGAATCCTGTTTTGTTTGTGTACATACAGGGAAGCACATCACTTTTGTAAAAAAAAAAAAAAAAGAAAGAAAAAAAAACATATGTGCACGTGAAAAATTGCTCTGAAACGTGTCAAGGGAGTATGCTGTAATAGCATATGACAGGGAGACACAAGACGTCTCACGAGGATATGACCAAAATCCAGTGGGAGATAAGAGAGGTATACACACAACAGATGGAAAAGCCTATGAAAAACAATCTTAAAAACAATAACCATAGATAATCAAGAGTCTTGATACAGCTTCAGGGCTGCAGTTCCTCTGTATGTCTGTCTAAGCAGCTACGGGATGTCACAAAGGTCACAGCCACTTTGCATCAGGTAGGTTTTCCCACTGCTTAATGCTCCCAGTGAATTTGAATTAAAATCTTACTGAGACTGATATAAGGGAGAAGAAGTACTATGTGAGGGGACAGGGGCAGGATCGGTAAAGAAGAAAATCATTTTGGAGGATAAATTGATTCAAGGAAAATAAAAACTCAGGGGAATGGTGGCACATGCCTTTAGCCCCAGCACTAGGGAGGCAGAGACAGGTTGATCTCTTTGAGTTCAAGACCAGCCTGGTCTACATAGAGAGTTCCAAGACAGCCAAGGCTATATGGTGAGATCCTGTCTTGAATTAAAATAATAATAATAAATACACATTCAATACAGTAAGTATTTCATTATTTCAGTGAAACTCCAAAATTGACCATCTTATAATATTTATTCACTTATACAATGGTACTTTTCCAACAGACCTTTCAAACATGTCATATGCACATATATGTATATATACACATATATACACACACACACATATATGTAAGTGAATGACATGGTCAAGAGTATCATTCTTTTAAGTAAAGCAGAAAACGAGTAGTTTTATTGAGCACATGAAATACAGCTTTAATATATACCAATCTCCTTATCAAGCCACTATTGAACATCTAGAGTTTAAAAGTAGTTTTATTTGGGTTGAATTTTCATGCTTAGTTCCAAGTCCAAAAGCTGATCTTACTGCAGGGCACTCTGCAGCATTCTGGGCATTCGGCCTGTGATCTGTAAGGATGCCTTTTCCATCGAAGGAAAAAACAAAAGAAACAACTATAAACAGTAAGTTGCCCTCTTTTGAGATTTCAGTTGCAAACAATAAAACTATCCATTTTCTGCTTGATAGAAACAACAGAGAGGAATCCTGATAAGTAATGACATTTGTTTCTACTTAAAGGTGGGAAATGAGCTCCAGAAATCAAGTCTGAAAGACAGACGGGAAGACGAAGGCAAGCCTTTAAGTGGCCCCAAAGTTAATTCTCAAAATTCCATGAGAAGTTAGTAACTTGAGGAAGTGTTACTGTTGAGAGCTAAGGTATGAAAGCTGAAGGTGGGGAGTTAAGTCTCATCACAGCATAGAGGTGTAAATACCTTCTTCAACATCTGAGATATATTCCCCGTCACTGAGCTTTTCGGGGGCGTTGGCTTTACGAACTGCATGATTTAAGTGACAACAGAAGGGCATGAAAATACTCATTCCCAACACTGCAGCACAGCATTTAAGCATTCCCCCAAACACGTCGGTAAAGGCTTTCTTCTGGAAGCAACAGAGAGCCAGTCACTCATCACCACGACGACCCCCCCAGGACACCGTCGTACCTTCATCATCTGACATATCGAGAACTTCATTCATCGTTTCTGGAACATTCATCTTGTGCTTCTCGGTGATGGTCTAGGGAACAACAACAAAGAGCAGCTGCTTCAGCATGAATGGACTTAGCAATTCCAAGGAGACTAGTCATTTCTTTCTGACTTGATGTGTAGCCTGTGGGACTTCAGGGTAGAGAACCTAGGAGGCTTTATGCACAGCGTGCTCTCTCCCTGGAGCAGCACGTGGCAGGGGGGCTGAGTGGGGGGGGGGCTCAGAAATGCTTCTCAGAGGAGTACAAGGTGGAAATCTTCCAGGGACAAAACATAGCAGATAAGAGATTGTGGTCACTAGCAAGGCTTTTTCAGAGGAAGCGGGAAAAAGCATTGCTGTGCTTGTCCATGCCAGAAGAACCACATATCATTTCTCACTCAGGGTCATGGAAGAAGATAGCCCAAAATAATAGCAAGGAATTTGGCATTATCCTTCGTGCCAAGCCTCTTGCTTCCATTGTATTCCCTACTATGTGTCCGTACTATGGGTAGGACACAAGCAAAAATACTAACGTTATGTAAATTACACACAGTTTATAACTATGTGCATCAAAAACATTTTAGCGGCAACACATTTGCAGGATCCTTTTAGCTTCCAGAAAAACTTCATCAAGAATACCGAGTTGCAGGGCGAGTGCCTTCCTGATTCTTGCTTCCTAACTTTATAAATCTATGTCCATTCGAAAGACAGAAGCAGTATTGTGTAAATCAAAACCCTGAAAGCAGGGGCTGGAGGGATGGCTCAGTGGTTAAGGGAACGTGCTGCTCTGGCAGAGGAGCTGGGTTAGGTCCACAGCACCCAAGTGGCAGCTCATGACGATCTGTAACTCCAGTTCCAGGGAGTCAGAAGCCCTCTTCTGTCTTCTGAATACATGTGATATATACATATATATCATATACATACAGGCAAAGCACCTATACACCTAAGATAATAATAAATATATCTTAAGCTGGGCAGTGGTGATGCACACCTATAATCCCAGCACTCTGTGAGTTCAAGGCGAGCTTGGTGTACAGAGCGAGTTGCAGGACACCCTCCAAACCTACACAGAGAAACTCTGTCTCAAAAAACAACAACAATAACAAATCTTAAAAACAAAACAAAACAAAGCAAAACAACAACAACAAAAAAAAAAAAAAACTGGGGGCTGGAGAGATGGCTCTGGGGATAAGAGCACTTGACTGTTCTTCCAGAGGTCCTGAGTTCAATTCCCAGCAACCACATGGTGGCTCACAACCATGTGCAATGGGATCAGATTCCTTCCTCTGGTGTGCATGAAGCACATGAAGAGCACTCATATACATAAAATACATGAATAAATCTTTAAAAAACAAAAACTGAAAAGCACCCAGAAGTTGAAACTAAGGAAGGCTATCAATTTTTTCTTTTTCTTTTTCTTTCTTCCTTTCTTTCTTCCTTTCTTTCTTTCTTTCTTTCTTTTTTTTGGAGGGGGGTTCAAGACAGAGTTTCTCTGTGTAGCTTTGGAGACTGTCCTGGCACTCACTCTGGAGACCAGGCTGGCCTCAAATTCACAGAGATCCCCTGCCTCTGCCTCCCGAGTGCTGGGATTAAAGGCGTGTGCCACCACCACTGCTGGGCTTCAATTCAGTATCTTAATGATATTTTTTGGTAAATTATACTCCTATGTTCAATTGTTATGTGTGAATAAAACATTTTTGTGCCTTTCTCAGTATATAATACTGAAATCGATCACTTCTTTAAACTTCCAGTTAGTTTTATAGTCTCTAGAATTATACAGAAAATCCCTATATTCTCCATACTAAGTCTCTCACCATAAGATCTTGTGTTAGTACTGTACATTTGTCATAGCATACCAATACTGATACATCATCATCCAGATTTGTGTTACACTGACATTTCTTTGATTTTGGTCCCACACTGCACACATTTGATGCAGCTGCAAGGGCTCTCTGGAGTTTTCTTGACTGTTAGGATTCTCAACTTTCTTTGGTGCCGAGGACCTTAAGGGTCTTGAGCTGTATCAGTCAGTTGTTTAAGGAGGCATTTGTCTCATTTGTTTGTATGTTTGTTTCTTTTGCAATTAATCAAGAGAGGGAAGGTGACACACACTTTTCTTCCTCATCATCCCACAACATATCAAATGTGACCTTTGATCTTCAGGCTGAGGCAGTCTTTCTGAGTTCTCTGTAAACTTCCTCTGCTCTCCTTAGCTTGTGCATTGTTCTTGTTTGTGTTTTGGAAGGAGATCACTACGTTTAGCCCATCTTTAGGCTGTAGGTAATGATGTTTGATGCTTCCTTGAGGGGTGAAGGATTTTCCTAAGTTATTTGGAATCCTTTGCCAGGGGATATTTCTCAGCCACATTTCTCAGGATTGAGTAAGGCCTTGAGGCCAGTATTCTGACAATGAGTGGAACGCCCTGGACTTTTTGTAATTCTTTTCCCTCAGGTACCTGCACATTCTCTCCCACCCAATCATTCATTCATTCACACCCATATGGGCTCAGATACGTTTGCTTCATGCTTTGAACTATGCTCTAATATTGTATTTATGTTGTTTTGGTTAAAGTGTCCCTGTCTCAGTCATCATGAACTCTTCCTATTGATTTGTGTGTGACATCCCCCATTGTTTTATTCATATATTTTATTTAACTTTGGTAGTGATGACAGTGTACTTCCTTGTTGTGCTGGTTAATTGTTTTTTTGTTTTGTTTTTTTCAGCTTGACACAAACTAGAGTCATCTGGAAAGAGGGGAACCTCAACTGGAGAATTAGCTCTATCGGCTTGACATGTAGGTAGGCATGTGTGTAGGGAACTCTTGATCAATGATTGATGTGGGAGGGCCCAGCCCACTGTGGATGGTGCCACTCCTGGCATATGGTCCTGGGTTGTACAAAAATGGTACCTGAGCAAGCCAGGGGGAGCGAGCCAGTAGGCAGTGTTCCTCCACCGCCTGTGTTTCAGTTCCTGCCTCCAGGTTCCTGCTGTGATTCCCTGTCCTGGCTTTGCTAGTGACAGACTGTAGCCTGTCCATAGAATAACCTAAGCTTGGATAACTGGTCCTGCTCCCAAAGCTGCTTATGGTAAGCGTTTTATCATAGCAACAGAAAGCAAACTAATCACACTTGCTTTGGAGCAATCCTTCTTTAGTCCTACAGCTAGCTACTTCTCCCGGAAGACCTGGCTCCTTTATGTGGAGAATGGTGTTAGCAACTGACAGCTGGATGCTGGACAGTCTCTGATTGTGGCTTCTGGAGAAACAATATTTCAAGCAATGCGATCGAGTAAAATATAACTCTAATGCCATTAAAGGGAGAATATCCGTTCAGATGCTCAGCACTTGGTTCCTCATGCTATTGTGACAATGAAGGCATTTATTTACGACATCACACACTGTCTCCATGTGGAAGAGCCTGCTAACAGAAACAGTGGCTGCTGAGGTGCTGGTAACTTGCTAGAGCAAGATGATGAGTGTGGTGGGGGCTCAGCTGTGCTAATTATTTTAAGATTATAGATACCAACCTGAAATCAATCTCTCTCATCTAAGGGAATTTATACACAAGCACTGGAGCAGGGCTGGGGAGGTAGTTTCTGAGTTTGTAACAGAAGTTCCGGAAGGTTGGAATAATTCCTGAGGATGGCTTCCTTGCTGGCCACCATGAGCACTTAGGTTATCTGGGGAGGCCATATTTTCTTCCTGGGGCAGTCTGGACCTTGCTCTTAGCATGCATTACCTTCCCCCTTTGAAGAAAGTCATCACCCAAGCTTAGTGATGACATATTCGTGAAGTGGTTCCACTGCCACAGACTTTGGCGGGAGCCTGGTCCTTTCTGGAAGATGCAGTATTGGGTTCTCATTTCTGTAACTCTAGACTGCTAGTTGCTGCAGTGTATTGAGAATTCAACTCAGAGCCTTGTTCATGCTTTACTAATCAAGCCAGCCCTCCTCTGGTGTAGCTTAATGCTTTTAGTGTTTCACTTTTAGTGTTTCACTTTTTAAAAATATTTTACTTATGTGCCTTTGTGTATTCATCTGCGTGTGTGTGTGGGGGGGGTGGTGTTGTGCGAGCAAGTGCATGCAGTCACGAACATGCATGCCCACTCAACAGGTGGCTGTGGAGACCCAGAAGGGGGCACTGAATCCCCTAAACCAAAGTTACCAGCCATTGTGAGTCACCAGGGTGGGTTCTGGAAACTGAACATGATTCCCTAGGAGTTCTCCAACTGCTAGCCCAAAGCTTTTATTTTTATTTCACATAAACATTGTGAAATTGCCCAATTGATGAAGAAGCCAATTATGATGTGTACTTTTAACTACTAGACAAGGATTGTCCTCTAATACTGAAAAGGCAATCTGACGTATTAACTATGATGACTCAAACACCTGTAGCATCACAACACTTGGCTACTGTTAAACAGCTTGTTCCTCTCCCCCTCCTTCCTCCCCTAGAGAGAGCTATATGGGAAATCCAGAACATTAAGGCCAGAGAATGTGATTTGCCTATCCTTCCTCTAAGAATTTAATAGTAGTCAGGCATGGCAGTGCACGCCTGTACTCTGGGGTCAGAAGCAGCCTAATATCTGTGAGTTTGATGCCAACCTGGTCCACGGAGCATGACTCTGTCTCAAAACAAAACAAAATGCACACTAAGGAAAACATTCAAAAGAACTCAGTATCAGATTTTAGGTTTTAAAAGCTGTATGAACTGATGAATGCATTTTTTTTTGCTCTAAATTTTATGGTAATGACAAAAATAGAATCTGGTTAGTGGGCATTTTCTGTCTTGTAAACCTTACAATTTCTCTCTTCTACTCAGCAGATTTATTTTGTAGTTTTGATAGCCTGAAAACTGCCAAATAACTCAGCCGGCAGGTAGCTGCAGACAGCCTTAGCCCACGGTTTTCTATATAAAGCTACACACACACACACACACACACACACACACATACGAAGTAAGTTATGTACAGTAGACAGGTCTTCCTTCAGACTGGGAGGTGGTAAATGGGAAATGATGGCAATAACCCCAAATTCCACTGTCCTAACTGTTCTTAATCCCAAAGCTGCCCAATCTAGTTCAAAGGCATTAGACAGGGCTTAAGTTGGTTTTTTTGTTTGTTTGTTTTTGTTTTTGTTTTTGTTTTGTTTTGTTTTGTTTTTTGTCAGGGACTGGTGAAAGCAGCTCAGAGCATCAGTGTGGAAAGACATTGGCCACCAAGCCTGAGGGATGACCCTAGTTCCATCCCCAGAACCTATATAGTGGGAAGAGAGAACTGATTCTCTCAAGTTATGCTCCGGCTTCCACACATATTTCATGGCATTTGTGTACCCTCAACACACATGGTGAAATGTAATAAAAAGAAATTCAAATGTGTCTAATGCAATAGGGCCATCTGGCAAATGTTTACTGTAAAATTTAAGAAAAATATTGGTTTCCCTATGAAAACTCCAACAGGTATTAAAAAAATAAGAATGACAATTAAAACCAATTTTTATCTACCCATAACTTTAAGAAAACATTATTTTTGCAAAAATGACATTTTAAAGAGCTTAAACGAACTTTTACAACACCACGATTTAAAAAACAAACTTATTTGATAGAATATGAAATAAAAAGCAGGGCATTGGTGGTACACACCTTTAATCCCAGCACTTGGGAGGCAGAGACAGGTGGATCTCCGTGAGTTCAAGGCCAGCCTGGTCTACAGAGTGAGTTCCAGGATAGGTCCCAAAGCAATACAGAGAAATCCTATCTTGAAAAAATAAAGAATATGAAATAAAAAACTCTTTGTCTGCTTACATAACTATTTTCCCCAAGATATATTTTATTAGTTATTTATGTGTCTGTATATCTGTCTATGTATCTGAGCGTATGTGAGTGCAGTAACCAGTGAGGCCAGGAGGGGGCACTGGATCCCCTGGAGTAGGTGCTACTGACAAATGAGCACTGCCTGAGGCACAATGCTGGGCAGGTCCTCTGCTCTGAGCAGTCTCTTCAGCTCCATGTGCAACTTTAAAAGATATATATTTTTAGTGTTTCAAATTTTGTTCATATCAGAAATGAGGGTTTTGCTACCCTGGCCGCCAACAATGAGTTGATAATATTTTAAAATGTGGTACTTAGTCAATGAATAGAGGAAGAAGGAATATTCTAGAAAAGCCTAGGGAAACTGCCATCTGGGTACTTGGCTTTCCAAGTAAGAAAGTTCTATATTCATTACTCACAGTGGTGGTCATAGTTTCCTCTGTCACGACCTTCAGTGTGTCAACCACTGAGATGTAGCCAAGGCGCCGGGCAATGGCCAGGGCTGTGTTCCCGTTCTGGAAACAGGAAAATGTGGACAAGGTTACTCAGCCTGCTATGGGATATCCCTTTACACTGTGTGAATATATGTTGTTGTGATTGGTTTGATAAAGAAACTGACTGGCCAATAGCTGGACAGGATAAGGTTAGGTTAAGGAGAAGGAGAACCAGACTAAGGACACAGGGAGGAAGGGCAGAGTCTAAGGAGTCATGAGAGATAAAGAAAGAAGCAAGATGAACATGTTGCTAAGTGTGGCAGAGGATAGATAAGAAATATGGGTTAATTTGAAATGCAAGAGTTAGCCAGCAACAAGCCTGAGCTATCAAGTGAACATTTATAATTAATAAGTCCCTGAGTGCTTATTTGGGAGCGGCTGCTGGGACACAGAGAAATTCTGCCTACAGCCAATGCAAGACCTGTGTCTCATCACGCCGACTCAACTGTCATATAAAAAAATGTAAACGTTATATCAGAGACATAATTTTATAGTTTGGAGCCTAAATGTATTTGAAGATGTTGGTGCTAATGGCATGTTGAGACTAATGGGGGGAAGTTATGCCATTAGGGGTATGTCCTCAAAGGGTGTATGGGACTCTAGACTCCTTTTTCTCTTTGCTTCCTGATGGCCATGATATGAGCTTCATTAAGCACTGCCTGCCACAATGTCCAGTTTCACTACTGACTCAACATGATGGGGACAAGTGATCATGGGTTGACACCTGTGCAACTGCCAGCCAAAGAAAGATTCTCCTTCTATTAAGTTGCATGGCTCAGGTATTTTGTCAAAGTGACAGAGAGATAACTAGTAAACACACTTTATAACAGCCTAGCTCACCTGTTCTTACCCGTGCATCGAGGTCCAAGCAGCTACTTGTTCTATGTCAACAGTCAATGGGATGTAAATACCATTTTTCTTTCATTATGTGTTTCTATAAGTGGCGATGAAGTGAGTATTTTTAGAGTGTCAAACACTGGCTTACTACTCCTGTTTGAAGAGCTCATGACATGGTCCCCACTGAAGGCTTTCTGTAACTTTTCACTGAGATTTAGAAAAGCAACTGGTGTGGGATCAAAACTTAAGAAGACTTCAGAGGCCCTCTGTCTCTCCAGTCCCACTGTGCTGGCCCATAGCTTACCACAGTGAGTTCATTGGGTGAGGCATTGTTCTGAAGCAAGACGTTGATGATATGGGTGTGGCCTTGCTGAGCTGCCTGGTGCAGTGGTGTGTATCCATTCTGCAGAAGGAAGAACGGAGAAGTGACATGCCACCTCCTTGAATGCAAAACCAAGGATTTTGCTGGAAAGAAAGGGGAAGGCACCCACCTTTGTTTTGGCGTTAACTTTTGCAGAGTGCTGCAGCAGAAAATTGACTATTTTGATGTTTCCATAGTGACAGCCCACATGGAGTGGCGTGTAGCCCATCTGTAATTGCATTTTATAAAAAAAGAAACATTGTAAGTACACTTTTAGTAACAGCAATTCTAAACGGAAGTCAAAGTATTATTCAACCTTCCTTTTGAGCTGGAAAATAATTTTTTTTTTTTAGATTCTTCCCCATAACAAAATTGCCCTTTTCAGAGCTAGTCTTAATATATCTGATGGAACATAAAAATAAGTATTTAACTTTCCCTTATGTCAGCCCTTTACTGTCTAGATCCTGTTCAGGATAGAAGGAAAGATGGACTGATCAGCCCCCTAGACAGGTGGACTCTGTAACTGGTTGCTGCTATCAGAGAGTGTTTTATGGACAGATTATGTTAGTATTAACCAAATGTTCTATTCTCTAACAAAATAGCTAAGTGACAAGTTTGGGAGGCCAGGGCAGGGGTTGTGGATAGGCACATTCCTTTAGTCCCAGGACGCCAGGATAGACAGGTTTACATAGTGGGAACTTGCAGGAGTAAAGACAAAACACCCTCTGTGGACAGGCAGAGGCATAGAAAGAGTCAAGACATGAGTTCTGATGGTCTAAGTATGAACTTGATCTTGGTATAGTTGTTCTAGTTCAGAGGTTCTCAACCTGTGGGTCACAACCCCTTTAGGGGGGAATCAAACGACCTTTTCACAGGGGTTGCCTAAGACCATCAGAAAACACCACTATTAACATTACCATACATAACAGTAGCAAAATTGTTGTGATGAAGTAGCAATGGAAAGAATGTTATGGTTGGGGGGGGGGTCACCATAACATGGGGAACTGTATTAAAGGGGCGAAG